CACACACACACACAAACCCCCCAAAAATTTTCTCTCTTTTTAGCCTGTTTTGCTCTAGATTGCTTTTCAGATGTGAATTTAATTTCAAAAATGCTCTAATTTGCAGTTTCCATAATATGATCCTTAGTTGATATATTCTTATATATCCTTTCTTGGTCTAAAAATAAGAAAACTAGTTAAAGTAACAATGGGATAGCTTGGTAGATGACTAGAGTTAAGCTAACAACATACTGTGTATAGACTCTTAGCAATATCCACCTGGTATTAGTGAAGGTGTGTGCATCCTGACCTAAACACTAGGGTTATCAAAAAATGGATACTAATGAAGATTATTTGAACTATCAACAAAAAAAAAAGGTGACGACCTTTAGTTTATTTTATTTTTGGGGTCTAATTTCAAATCATCCCTTTTGTGACTACAAATGCCATTACAACATATACAAGTAATACCTTGTATGTTTTTACCAACTTTTTCCTTTCAAAGGTGGTAATAATGAATCATGAATCCATTATGTGACCCAAATGCCACTTCCGGAACAAGCTTAAATAGAGATAGTACGCAAACGACAAACCTATAGAATTGCTGCGAAGACATTTCACTTTACGTATTTGGACAACTTAGATAGAATCATAGAAAGGAACAATAGGCGTCTTGAGGATAGCTTTCTATCTTTATTTTTTGCAGACTCAGAATAGTTTATAAAATCACACCTTTGGTGTAACTGAAAAGCTCACTTTGCTTACCCAAAAGGACAAAGAAAAAAAAAAGGAATTGCAATGGAAGAAGAAACTTAAAGAATGTTAACATATGAAAATATAAAACCATGGGCCAAACTTGAGGTAATTATGTCAAAGTAGTCAACGAATACACACTCCTGGGCATTAGTGAAAAGAATTAATTGGCACACAAAAAACAATAAGAAGAAAAATGCATCACAATGTTAGAACTCAACCACTAACCAAGAGGCAAAATCTTATAGACAATTATGGTATTAGACTAACCATATTTTCATGGTCAGGAGCTATCTTGTTTGTGCACAAGTACACTGCAGGAAGCACATCCTCAGGAGACAATGCCAGCAAGCTGTGAATGAGCAGTAACTGATCAACTAATACAGCCATACTTTCTTCGAGATTAGAGGGTGGGTGGATGAAAATTTTGAATCCACGCTACTCCTAAGTCTGTAGACTCGTGAAATTGTATTATTTATTGGTGGTGGATCTGCGGGATTGGATTCTCCCAATTAACATAAACTACCATTTTACCTCTCATTCATGCCACTACCCCTGCTCCCCAAAAAAATGGGAACGCTGTCTTTTTTTGGTTTTGAGCTGTTACTTATGAGGATAAGGATATAATTGAAATCCAATCAAAGCAAGAACCCAGCTAGTAATCCAATAAACCCAATGCATAATAAAATCTATAAGAACATCCCATGCTTAAACCCTTAACAAATGCCCCTCAGTATAACCCGGCTATCTTAGAACCCTTGAAAAGAAAATGATGCCTTAAGGGTTAAAGAGTAGTAGGCAACAAACCTCCGAAACATATTGCATAACATTGATGTTGCTTTTATCTTGCCTTTTTCTTCCTCTACCAATTCAAAAGTCCGTGAAAGATGTAGGTATGGAGCAGCCTGCCCCTTGCTCCAGCTAGCTGGAGAATAGAATGAAAGAAAAAGAAAGGAAAACAAGTAATACTTTACTGGTGAACAGATTTTACTTGGATAACAAAGTTGGAAATTATGCTTGAATATATCCAAATAATTACATCAGAAATGGTAATTACAAGACACCAACCATGTTCCAAAGGAGAATATTTCTCAGGTGGAAGTGATACATAATTTACACCAGTATTGGCTAAGGGAACTCCAGACAAGGACCAATCCGGGTCATCTCCTAATCTTTTGGGCGACTTTTCATCTTTGGAAGAAGGGAAAACCTCTTTAACAGGTTGCACCACTTTGCTGCTTTCAGAAATCCTGCATCCATTAGTTTCTCCAACATCTTTGTGTTCTGAAAAATAAATATCAAGTGCCATACTTATGTCTCCTTTAGTCTTTGCTAGTACTGTGGCAGCATAACTTCTTAATGACTCATCTGCATTCACAATCTGAATAAACCGATCAGCTTCCTCTTTATAAGACTCAAAGGAGGCACTTAGTAGCATACTGTTATCATCGTGGGAATTTTTACTAGCAGTTGCATCATTCCATTTCTGCACGGATGGAGGAGCCATTTTACTGAAGAACTTTGTTATAGTACACTGCTTTGATCCACCAGGTTCCATACTTACATTTCCTCTTGCTTTTTTAAGCGACTTGTTTTCAGCACTTCTCTTCCTTTTACCCGGAGAAATAGTTTTGCAACTGGAACGGTTCATGTTGGCCAGTTTAAAGGTTTTATTTGATGCAGTTGTCTCACCCTGCTGCGGCATTTTACCAACCCATGGTTTGGGAGACAGCATAGATTCATCTCCTTTTGGTTTAAAAGGCAATGCAGACCCATTTGGTGAGTTTGGCTCAAATGAAGAGGTAGGAGAATTACTGACAGTGACCCGTTCGCGGTATTCGGTTTCATGTTCATAAAAGTTAGTGACTGCATCAACAATATTTTTTCCCGAAATACTAAGTAAATCCAACATCTGGTCTTTAGTGACCCAAATGGGTAAACAGTCTTTAAGCTCTTTCAGCTCTTCTTCCACATCACCTTCACTTATTTTTTCTAAACCTTGCAACTCAGGTTCTCCTTGAGGAAATGAATGGATAATATCCTCCCTATCACCAATATTGCAGATCTTAGAATCCACTGACATATCCTCATTTTCTTGCTTGGTGATACTAACTAAAGCATTAGCAGATTTGCCTGTGTTTTCTTGATTGGTGATACTAACTGAAGCATGAGGAGATTCTTTTGCATCCATATCTTCCTCCCCTTGGACACAAGGATGAAAACCCATTAGAAATTCTTGCTTAATGGCCATCTCATCGACCAAGCCAGCAAAATGCTTCCGCATGGCATTAGCATGTTTGCTATCCAGCTTCTCAACATCTATGCCTACTGTTGGTATGACACGTTTTGGTTTCAGAAACTTCACATATTGTCTAAGCTCATCATAATTAGAATGTTCACTATATGGAACAAGATGTATCTCAAAGGAATCTTTCTTCCTCACTGAAAACTTATTTCGCTTCACTTCATAAGTCCAGCCAGTTGGGACAAAACCAACCACCTTAGAATACCCTTTTTCATTCATGATCTCGTTCATTTTCACAAAATTGGGTCTGAAATATGGCCAAGTCTCACCCAACACATTCCACCCAACAACATGAACATCGGTTTTAGATTCAAAGGTAGTAAACATCCCATCCTCCCCACGACCTAATACCTTCAAAACTGCTACTTTCCTGCCATCGACGTGGATCTTTCTCTTACATCTCCGCGCAACCTCCACTAAAATCTTCTCCTTCCCAATAACATAAGTAGCAATAATAAACAATATATTTTTCAATGAACCCTCGTTCTCAACTCCATATTTCTCTATAACACCAACTATATAATCAATTGACTCATCTTGACTAGGGAATATAAATTTCGGATTACAGTAAGTTGTATCTAAAAATACAGCATCAGCACCAATAAATGCATTTAAAACAGGCTCTAATTTCATTTTGTCACAATAACGAAAATCACCTGTGTGAATATACCGCTCAAATTTGCCATAATTAACTGGAATTTTAAATAAAAATTGCACAGCACCAGGACAATGATTGGCGTCGATGAGAAATACCTCGGAGCCGTCGACTAAAACGGCTTCGGAGAGCGGTAAAGACACTACAAATTGCGCAGGAACATTGAGGACTTGGATGAGAAGGTTAGCGGTTATGGAGGAGCAGAAAATGATACCTTTGGACCAATTAGGGGAAAGGCCAGTATAGTGATCGGAGTGGAAATGAGAGAGGAAGTATGAAACTGAGAAATCGCCGGCGTATTTGAAACCGTCGATGATAAAGCGAGTTTTTGGAATCAGTTTCGGTTGAGGGACTGAGGGAGGGATTAGGGGAAGAGGGAGGGGTGGTGGGTTTGAATGTGAGGAAGATTGGCCGGGGAGGGAGTTGAGAGCGGTTGTGTAGAGAGTGGTAGAGTCAAGGGTTAGGGTTCCGGCATCGGAGGACATGGTCGCCGGTGAAAGCGATGATTACGGTGGAAATTAAACGACTCGAAAGAGGACTTGGGTGCTGCTTTTTATGTTTCGAGGCGGTTGGATTGGCGCCAGAAGAACTACAGGCTTCTGTCGGACCTCTCTCGCTGTTTTGCGATTTGGTAATCTGGTACTCTTTCTTTTGAAAATTAGACATTAACCCCTGATAGTTTTGCTATGCGCCTATGAGTTATGAACAACAGCTTGTGGTTACAATTTACACAGCTACTAAAGAACTTTGCATGTTGTCGCTTTGATTAATGTTACCATTGAGTTGCTTGAACAATTCTAGGTTCCAACCCAAATTTTCATGTTCTCCCTCATAGTTGATTTATCAATTTTTGTACCATTCAAAATTTGAATTTAGTACCATTGAACATTCTTGATGTATTATAATTTAGTTGACATCTTCTTGACCTTCTAAACTTCCGTTTAGTCATAGATTTTGGCTATATTTTTTCAAAAAAAAAAAATTAAAAATATTATTTATTCATGGAATATGATCAGTTATTGAAGTAGCCAAAAACCAGTTTTTGAAAATTTGAACTTCAACTTCAAGAACTCTTTTCTCAACTAAACTAGTTTTTGGGAATTTGAAAAAAAAAAATCAAAATTTTTTTCAAAAACTGATCATATTCCATGAACAAATAATATTTGAAAAAAAATGCCAAAATTTATGGCCAAACGGGAGTCGAGTATCTAAGGACAAAAAATAATCTAAAGTTGTTATCTCTCCATATGCGCACTGTTGTAACACGATCAATATCTCAAATACCTCGACGCTAATGAGCAACTCATAACCAACAAGAAGAATGAATATCAAATACTACTATTTTTTTGTGTAGAAATAAAAATACAAAACTATAGCAATAATCATAGTCGGATTTAGGATTTAAACTCTGTGGGTTCAACTTTAAAAAAATTTAACATTAAACTCATTATATTTTTAAAGTTGTGAGTTCATATCTATTATTTTTATAATTTTAATAAATTTTTACATATAATTTTTATTCTACGTCAAAAGTTATGGGTTAAATTTAACTCGTAACTGTCACACTGCATCCGCCCGCAATAACACAAAAAGTTCAACCTAAAAGTTTGTTGTGTACAACTGCATAGAACATTAGAACTCGTCCTAAAGAGCTTCAGTATATGTTGCAGCTCCCGCTAAACTCTACTTACAAATCATAAAAATAAAAATAAAACAATATAATTGATATTTAGAAAGGAATAAAAATGACAAATAGTGATAAATTAAAGTATAACAACAACAACAATAACAATAACAACAATATGTAGTCCCACAAATGAGGTTTGAGAATTATAGTGTGTACGAAAATCTTACCCTTACCTTTAAATATATTTATTTAACAAATTAAATTAAAAAAGAGGAGGGAATTATTTTCTGTCTATAATTGAAAAATAAATTATATTATAAAATAAAGACTGTAAAGTAAATAAATCGAAGACAAGTATAAAGGGAGATTGATATTTTTATTTAACTTCAAACTGTTGTCCATAATGAACTGAAAAATCCTCTATTTATATAAGAAAGGAAGCAATTGCGAGGCTTTTAAGGAAGCAGCTGCAAAGCTTTTCTTTAGCTACTTGTAAGATGTCTGCATTAGCTGCTTGCAACCTGCCTGTTTAATAAGAAGCTGCTGCAAATCATTTCATTGAGTTGCTTGCAACCTGCCTGCATGAGCTGCTTGTAAGCTGTCTGCATGAGCTGCTTGCAACCTGCCTGTTTAATAAGAAGTTGCTGCAAATCATTTCATTGAGTTGCTTGCAACCTGCCTGCATTAGCTGCTTGTAGATAAATTTCAACAGAGTACTAAATGGATAATCTTCTTCAGGAAGATTATCTATAGCGGAGTAATGAATGGACATCCATAATATAATATTTTCATAACACTCCCCCTTGGATGTTCATTAAAAGATATTGTGACTCGTTAAAACCTTACTAGGAAAAACTCAGTGAAAAAAATTCCAGTAAAGGAAAAAGAGTACACATATTTAGTAATACGTAATTCTAGTTGCCTCATTAAAAACCTTATAAGGAAAACCCTGTGGAAAAAATCTTAGTAAGGAAAAAAGAGTACAACGCGTATTTTACTCCCCCTGATGAAAACTTTATTTCAAATATTTAAGTCTCCGCATTCCAATCTTGTATACTATTTTCTCAAAAGTTGAAGTTGGCAAAGATTTAGTGAACAAATCTGCTAGATCGTCACTTGAACGGATTTGTTGCACATTGATGTCACATTTTTCTGAAAATCATGTGTGTAGAATAATTTTGGTGAAATGTGTTTCGTTCTATCTCCTTTTATAAATTCTCCCTTTAATTGGGCTATGCACGCAGCATTGTCTTCGTATAAAATTCTGGATCTTTTATCACATTCCAAACCACATTTTTCTTGAATAAAATGAATCACTGATCTCAACCATACGCATTTCCTACTTTCTTTATGAATAGTTATTATCTCAACATGATTTGAAGAAGTAGCAACAATTGATTGTCTTGTGGAGCGCCATGATATGATAATACCTCCACATGTAAACACATACCCGATTTGAGATCAAACTTTATGAGGATCGGATAAATAACATACATCTGCATAACCAATATGATCTGCACCAACTTTGTTAGCATTAGCAAGATACATAAGTGCACCAATTGCACTGAGATAGAGTATTTCAGGACCAAGGAGTTTCTCATACTTTTCTGGAGGTCAGAACGGATCCATATTCACTTCAAGTGATCGAACACCCATTTGGTTTATTTAATGGGTGCGCTTTGTTCATGTAAAAGCGTTTTAAGATATTTTCTGTATAGACAGATTGATGGATAAAGATCCCATCTTCTAAATATTCAATTTGCAGACTAAGACAAAGTTTTTCCCTTTGGAGCTCTTCTGGAGTTCCTATGAGATTTATGCCATTAACATAAACAAAACGTATAACAAACTCTGATATTGTTTTCTTTGTAAAAACGCATGGACAAATGCCATCATTTATATTGTAACATCCCGAAAAATTTCGAAGTACTTAAGTGTAAAGCCCGGTAAAATATGCAAAGAAAATAATGTTTGATGGTGTCGGACTAGGCTTACGTGTTTGAGGAGTGAACAATGTTTCATGATGCCGGACTAGGCTCGGACATTTTGGGTTGAACAATGCACGGGAAAGTAAAAGAATTTTTTTGGCAGAAATGCACTATGCGACCGCAAAATTACTTTGCGGACCGCATAATGGGCGCAGAGTGAGGCAGTTAATTGGGTCAGTTGGAAGCAATTATGCGATCGACTATGCGATCGCATAAATGTTATGCGATGCATTATGCGGACCGCATAGTGACCGCATGCACTGACGACTTTTTTGATCATTTTATCAGCAATTATGCGACTGATATGCGGTCCGCATATCCATTATGCGGTCGCATATGCAGTCGCATAACTGTTCCAGAGCTCCATTTTTAGGTTTGTTTTTTAAAACCCGACCCTATTTCGTTAAATACACTCGTTGTGCCATTTTAGAGACATAATCTGATATTTTAAAGTGTGAGAGAGTGCCCTAGAGTGAGAAGGTGTTCTTCAATAACTTTTCTTCAATTCTTTCTCAAGTTTTGGAAGATTAAGAAGGGAAGCTCACTATGTCTTCATCCTAGAGGTAAGATTCTATACCCTAAACCCTAATTTCGAAATTATCTGAAAATGGGTAATTAGCAAGATAATTTTTGGGCATGAGAGTTGCTTATTTTATATGCATGTGTTATCAAAGGGTGTAGGAAGGTTGTTGAGCTAAAAATGGTAAATATTGGGTTTGTGGGATGATGAAATCCTTCATAAAAAGGACATTGAAACCTTATGCACACCTAGTGTTTGATAAAATGCTCAAGTGAGCTAGAACCATGATCATCTTCCTAATTTTGATTCAATTTGTTATATTTCTATAATAGATTGAAGTTGCTAAGAATTCCGGAATATTTAGAATGTAAGGAAGCTCAAGTGAGGTATGTTGGCTAAACTCTTCTCTTATAATTGAATCTCACGATATTCATGTAAATTATGTAAGTACCGAGTGATTCATTATGAAATTGGCTATTCCGAGT